CCTCTCCCCCTCTCCCCCGACCCTATCTTGCAAATTGGTTGCTTGATGATTGATAATTTTGCTCCTCTCGGCTCTCAACATCTTAATTATAGACAGCAGTTTTCACTCAACATGGATGGCTCCCCACCGGTAGTCGCCGCCCAACAGGTCAAACGCAAGCAACGTCCTGTATATTCGTGTTTACCATGCCACCAGCGAAAAGTCAAGGTGAACCAATCCAAGCCAAATGCCACCCATTTCCAAGATCTAGTCTCTCAATTGTCCCCTCCCGGTAACACGAACATGAGCTTATCAGGACCCGTGCCAAGTAGTGCAATCGGGTGTTACCGTGTAAATCGTGCTGTTTGCGTGGTCTCCCGGAAGAGTGCACATTCCCTCGCTCCGCCGAAGAGCAAAACTACATCAGTCAATCCGAATATATCACCCAGCTCGAGGAGCGATGTCGCACCTTGGAGCGACGACTCGCCCATCTGGAAGCCGTGCGACAGCTGGTCATCCATCAGGCCAACGAGGCCTCCTCCTCCCGCGAGCAGTCACACGACTCGGCCGAGATCGGTCTGCTACACGAAGATGAAAAAGAAGACAAAGGTCGGTGGTGAACGAGGAGAGAAAGACCCTCATCAGCCGCTGCTAACATTGCCCTAGACCCGGCTTCCAACCATCCGGAAAAGAAAAGCGAGGACGAGGACGAGGACAGCGAAACCGACGGCACCAGCAGCATTCCCATGGAGTATTCTCCGGGCGCAGCCATCTTGGATATCTTCATCGAACGCCTGATCGAAGACTGCTGTCCGTTGAGCAAGCGCGAGACCGGTGTGAAACGGTTTATCCTCAGCGATGCATCCCAGATGAGAAGTCGATCGGAACTGCTACAGGTCGCCTTCGAGAATACGGCCTTGATGTTTGTCGGTCGCACCTGGGGGGACCGGGACATCGAGATGGCGGGCCATCGACACAACATGTATGCTATTCGATTGATGCGTCGGTCTCTGCGCCGGTGTAGTGGGAAACCTGTCCCCCTGGATGTCTTTGTGGCTGCCTTTATCTTCATCATCCGCGAGGTTTTCACCGGCGACAGCAACGCCCTGATGAAGCATTTGGTGGGGGCTGCTCAGCTCCTCCAGTCTCGGAAACCAGAGGAACATCAGACTGGGATTTCCCATGCGATCTTTCTGGACTACCGCATTTACTGGGTATGATCCCTGAGGAACTCCTTCGACCCGTAGCCCTAGCATGAGGAAGCTGATCGCTGCTGGATCTAGATCGCTGGTTCAATCCTCCTCCGCCGCCCCTCATTCCTCGTACATCCCGACTGGATGAAAGTCCCCTGGGCACACAAGCCCAAAGATCTGCTGCAGCAGCTGCTCGATATCGGAGCAGAAGTGCCCTGCTACCTCTTTCAAATCGACAAATACCAGAGCCAAGTGGCGTCTGGACAGAGCAGCTACGAGGATCTTCTTAACGGTCACAGCTCCCCGGGCGCGTGGGCACAGACCCTGGACAGTCGCCTGGAGCGCTGGTATCACCACCATATCCCTTCTTATCAGCACGGCTCCATCACTGAGTCCGATCACCGACTCGATGCTTCCTTTCCGACTTTCGCTTGTCACGATTCGCGTGATGGACATATCTTTACCCCGACCATCCTGATCTATCCCGACCTGCTACTGACTACCGTGATGTGCTACTACTGGGCCTTGCGCATCACCGTCGTCGGGGCTAATCCCACCCCCTCTCCTCGCTCCCTCCGGTATGAGTGGGCTTGCAATATCTGCCGGAGCCTAGAGGCCTATATCACCAAGGGTCCTCGTTGTTTTATTTATCGCATTTTATACCCTATCATTGTTGCCTACCAGACATTTGAGCGAGACTCGGTCGAACGTTGCTTTGTCGTTCAACTTTGTCGTCGGTTGGACGAACTCTACCAAGTCAATGTGTTTCTGAATATCATGGCTCAACTGGGCGATTCGATAGAGTTACCTGGATTTTAAAGCTTGTGGTTGACTTCTTGCTTCTCTTTCTCGTGTTTCCTCTTTTCTTTTCTTTTGTTTTCTTTCTTTTTCTTTTTTCTATTCTATTTTTCCACTTCTTTGCGAGATTCATTCTTAACACATGCGTACATATTAGCGACTACTGTTTGAGGTCTAAACAGATGGATGATACCTGGTTGGTGCATTGGATTTTCTAGCGGTGGATCTTGTTAGCTGGACGGGCGACCGCGGGATATTGGATCTTCGCAGAATTTGTCATGTTGTGGTTCAGGGCGATCTAGATCGGGCCTATCATTCTCAATGCAGCCCAGGTCACACTCGGAATTTGCACACTACACCTTTTCAAAATAATACTGGAGCTCATGCTATGGATGTGCTTCTCAAAGCATTGCTTCTTCTTCATGGGGAATGGCAGCATCACGCGGCCTGGGAATGCTGCATATCTGATCCGAGTTGACCGTCATAGACGCCTGCCTGTTAGCCAGTAGCTTCTACCATCAGTGCTGGTACAGGTCTGTAAGACTTGTATCATCGTGGGCTCCCACCAGGAGACTATTCTCTTAAGATCAGACACTAGTTTCAGTCCCCGAACACAGACTAGTGGTCAGGCACTGCCACATCCGCTTCATTTGCTGGCCAAGCGGTGCCGGCTGTTCCCATGGTTTCCACCTCAGGGCTGATGGTTATTAGCTCTTCCCCATCCCTCACCGGCGGAGCAAACCTCTGTTGGGTTAGCCGAAGGAGCTACTAAATCACTACCGTCGTGGAACTCGCTCGATTATTGGGGTGGGAGAAAGGAGGAGGGGGGGAGGGGGGGAGAGATGGGGACAGGTAACGGCCTCGTTGTGGGCTCTCCGGAGTGTGCCGAATTGTAGGCTGGATGAAGCGGTATGGAGAACTTCTTCAATCATGCGAGACTGAGACGGATGTGCCCAACTGCTGACTGAAAGCCATCCGCCTGCAGCGGAGCTATGGTTCACCAATAGCATGTATGCTTTTTCTTGGTTCGGCTGGTAGGGATTTTAGCTTCCATGACATGGATGGATTGCCTACGTTGTACCATGAGTGTAACAACCTTGGTTGCGTACGACATCGGGATGACTATCCTTGGTAAGGCAGAGTTCGTCCGATAACCCTTGTGTAGCACTCATGCCTGCGCTGGCTTGAGCACTGCTTTCGTCGACAGCACTGGTCCCCCCCTGAGGACAGACTAGTCCCCAACCAAGCTAGTATTTCAACATTTGGCCGTCACTTTGTGGTGCATTCATTCAGTCTAATCCCGACAGATAATGTCTCACTCGATCCAGCTGGCGGCGTAGGTCTTCGCTATGGGAATCCCTTCTAAGCGAAACCAATCGAGGAGAATCCCTACGGTAATGTAGACTCCGTGCGTCTTCCAGCCCCCTTCGTCATGGGCCAGCTGCCTACATCGCATCGCTCAGAAGGACTGTCCACGACTGCGCCAGTCTTCCTGCGCACAGCAAGGCGACAGCCTAGGAGTTTTAAGATAGCTCCCACCGCATAATGATTCTCGGGTTGCTCTCTGGTTCTCCGTCAGATTCGAGGACTGCTGAAGATATCGAGATGTCAGTCTCTGATCTGATAGTTCAATTGTTCCTGGAATGGGGGTTATTAGGTTTGGTCGGGAAGGACCCTGTCCCTGGCGTGTACTCCGTTCTCTCTCACACATATTTGCTGTCTACCCAGTCCAACCGAGGAGGGCTGCAGGCGAACTAGTGAGACGGAGTAATTATTAGTATGTGGGGCAGTTTATCGCCGAGCATAACCTTGAAACACCGAAACAGTACATGAGAACGAAAAAAAAAAACAAAGAAAAAAAAACCGTTGTAGTTTCCCGCCCGCGGTGATGTTATCGACCCTTCGCCCTCCCAGATCCAAAGAACACAGATGAATGTGACAGCATCGAACAACCACTTTGTCCATCACCCTCGTCATAGGAGGGCAGTTGGACACGAATAAAGCACTTGAGTGTGTCCATGTCTGGTTCCCATCATAGTCACCACAAACAGGGCCTCTCCCCGGATCACTCCCCTCTTATTCGCATTGATATAGATACCTCGGGTGTACATACAGTACAGTACGATGAAAGGTGGGCGACCCGCGATACTTGTATCCATGGACAGCCAGGGTCTTGAGTCCCGGCCGAAAGTGTGATGACGACAGTTCCGCACTTGAGATCCATCTTCGTGACTACAGCCAATCTGAGTATTAGGAGCAGTAATCCGATCGTAGCCAAGTCGGTAATGTAGTTACTCCGTAGTCCCGAGTATGGCGGGTTGCCACCAGGGGGATAAGTTCAACAAACCTTATTCATATTTGATACAAAGTGTGCCTGAGACGATCTCGGTGGAATCTATCAGATCGTGCCTTATTCTCATATCTTGCGTTGTTGTTTTTCAAAGCTGTTCTTGCGCAACAGTGGTGATCACGTAAGCTTGAATTGAGTGCGCAGCGTTAATTAACTAGGTACCGTACCTTAGGGCTACGAGGGGCTGATCGCGGATGGTGGACGATGAATGGCAACTTTGGGAGGCAGTTTCTAAGTTCTGATTACCCAGCTACGAGTGACCACAGTAATGTGACTTCAGTTCGAGACTTAGAAAGCCGACAGCTATCTATCACCTACTAGAGTAGAAAAATCAGAGTTCTACTTTTTCTCCGATATAAAGTCATATAGTTAGTAAGTAGCCTATAACTTACCTACTGGATCTAAGAATATCTACTTCTACCCTATGTATTTCTGGTTCTTTCCCAAGTCACGTGATCTAACCGACCGTTGGTTAACCCCCCATGCAGCCCGCCCAAAGGGGTTAGTGCGCTTTGGAAAGCCTTTGGCTGAGGGAGGCACCCGCAGACAAGGCCCTCGTATATTTTACCAGTTCTGTCAATCCTCGGCTGTGAAATACTTGCCTTACTCCGGAATTCAGCTATCGAGCTGTAATGGCCAGTGAAGGACTGTCAAAGCAACAGAATGACCAGACGGGGCCTGAGTAGCTCCCTGAAATGATCATTAGCAGCTTTACCCCGACTAGAACACGCTGGTGTCATGTTCTTCCGACAAGACAAACTCTTGCCGAGAGTAGGAGTCACTCCTCACCATAAAAGAGTCATTGTAATGGTTACTGGTTCTCGTCTACATACCTTGCTTACGTGCTATGAAGGGACCGATGCTGGCAGGCTCGGCCGTGCCTATAAACTTCAAGTCTTGCCGATTGTAGTAGAACATGTCCAGGAGCTGGTACAAAAGTTCTAACCAGGAAGTCATTATTAGAGGCTGTATAGCGTTATCTGAGTTTTCTATGGATTCTGCAGATATTTGCCCCCTTGACAAGTTGGTCATGCTATAAATATAGTAGCCGTCTTTCACTAAGATAATCGCTTTTTAGTGAGGGATTGTTCGCTTTTCTACTCTCCTGCTTTAGGAATGCTGGAACTGACCAAGGATAATTCACAGAAACGCTTTTCTAGCCCCGACCAACTATCTGGGCTCGTGGAAAAGTCTCTGATTATGAAATCTGGCTTCTCCAAGACCACTTTACGGTCATATCCATATCGACCTTGGTTTGAAAATATGCCATAAATGCAAGATAGTGCGATGGACTGTGGCTAAGAAAGAAAGGGGTTTTGGGAATAATCGGATTACTTAGACAGAGAGACAAGAAATTGATTGAACATAACAGCTCAAAGATATTGGTCATTCATGGATATACAATCTTCCACAGGTAACAAGAAATTACAGGAGAGGAAAAGGATAGAGACCGGCACTATTAGATCCGTTGATGCTCTCCGTCAAATCTCCAAGTAGCAGTCAACGAACGCGCCTGAGCCAATTCTTCTTCAGTCGGCATGTTGACAACCATGAGATAGAGCACTTTCTGTACCGGGTCGTAGTTAGTAGGTGATTCATGGCTAGCACAGTGAACTCATACCGAGCTAAGAAGCTTCTTTAGACTGAGACCCTTGCCTGCACGTCGACTAGCTGGAACGCGGGAATCTGGCTGCTGTTCTTCGCGCCTGCTGGAGCTTGACCTGCCATAGGGCGCTGGTGGGTTGTCCGAGTTGCTATTCTCTGGGCGGGCTTTTTGTGGATCACGATGGGCGGCGATTTGGTCAGCGGCCAGGCTGACCAGCCCAAGAAGGCCACCACCGCTTCGCCTTCCTCCAATGCCTCGCCCCAACTCGTCTCGTGAGCCAAGGCTACGGCGCTGCTGCAAGGTCCCTTCCCTCCCCCGTAAAGACAAACCACTGTGTATGGGATGCGTGGGATCGGCGTACTTGGAGGCGAACTTGGGTTTTCCCGCCTGAGTAAGATGGCTATCTGGGTTCTCGGCGTACTGTGATAGAGGGTGAACCAATCAGTCAGATTGCTCAACGAAGGAGAAGTGATTCGCGAGAACGGGGTTACTGACAAATTTGGCCTGGGCCCTACGGTCCATGTAGTCATCTACAAACAACTTGCCTCGCTCCAACCTCTTCTTGAAGCCCGTCTGCTCCTCTTTGGATCTTGTTGCAAGGAGATCCAGACCCGGGAAGATCAGTTCCGCCATTTGAATAGATTCCATTCCATTGGTAACCCCATTGGACGACTGGAATCGATGGGACATCCGGCCCTGGCTGTCCATTGTGTTCTGGACGGTGGAGTTGATGTCGATGTTGGTATGAGAGTCGGCGGCTGCCGCATCCCATGTCATGATGAGACAGTAGAGACCACGTGGTCGGAAAAACTCTTGGTTCAATCTGTCCAGGGCCTTGTTTTGTCTTTCGAGTGGAAGTTAGCCAAGCGATCTTTTCAAAGAATCATCGGAGACTTCCTTCTGGAGTTGCGTTCTTACCTGTAGCGACTCTGGGCCTCAATTGCAACATCTGTGGCAACCATGATGGCTACCGAAATCGCCGTCGAAATGGCAAAGGGCAGTGGAGAGGCCGCTAAAGAGGCTAGGTTAATGGCGTTGATCCAGGGATTGGCAAGGCTCGCTTCGTTGAGCGTCTCGACCATGTCGAACCAGGTGTCTTGGTCGATACCTACGGTCTGCAGGTCGGGGGCATAGGCACGAATAAATCCTCGCGTCTTGGCTTTGGGACGGCGCTGAGGAATCGCAACCGGATAAGTCAGTTGAGTAGATGGCGGAAGCTCAGGAGGCGGCCGACGCGAGAGGAAAGCAGAAATTATTTTGTCAGGATTGGCGGTGCCTTGCTTGCTCTTCCGAGGTGTGTATTCCGGTTTATCGACAATCCGGTCTTGGGCTTCATCCAGCTGCCATGAGTATTCGAGGTTATCTGCAGTCTCGATTGCAGTTTTCGTCTCTTCGCTTGAGGAACTGGGAGTATATGGTGGAGGGGGGGAGGAGGAGACAGAACGCGTTGTATCTTCTTGTTCATACTTATGCTGAGAAGGCTCCATTCCTTTTGAATGTTGCTCAAGTTCTTGCTCATGGTCTTTGCCTTCGCGGGCGGCTTTTCTAGCCTTCCTGTACCCATGAACTTCAGTTGCAAAGCCGATGCCGGTAGTGATTCCATGCACGAGGCCACTAATGGGACCACCATGCTCTGACCGTGAACGGGGCATGCTTGAGGGTTATGGGCAATGAAAAGATTGCTTAATAGAAACGTTCAGATGAAAGCTTGGACTTGCACTTGTAGAAAAAGCAGTTGGGACTGGAGACATCTTATAGACAAAGAGATGATGCAGCGGAATAGCACAGCCCTGCGGGGTGTAAGCGGATTTTCCGAATACGGCGTGGAGTGCGAGGGAAGCTAGTCCCAGCTAGGTAACCATCTCGATTGACACACATGCTAGAAAGCTTAGCTTGTTAAGGATCATAACACCGCCACAATGGCTAAGCTTTGTCCAGGTTAACAGGTATGTTTATCCAGCACGCGGATTACAGTATATCACAATGATAATCACTACATATCTTCTCTGTTAAATAATCCTAGGAAATTCTTTCTTTCTTTGCCGACAGAATATATACAATGTATCTAAATTTCGCTGACACATCGACTCTCCACCTGAGGATATCTCTAGTGACTGAGTTATTCTCTCCACTCTCAGATTCAGACCTAAATAACGCATCTCATATGTAGGGTTCCCGATAAGGATTTGCGAAAAAGAATCTATGAGCTTGAGCCACGGTTCCCATCTAATCTCCCATTCTGAAGGCTTACAGTGATTATATCATAAAGCTTCTTCATCAGAAACCTGACCATGCAAAGGCCTTAACTCGAGTCATCCGAAATATCTTCTGAAGGACTTTTGTATTTTATGTTATATCTAGTACTATCATCGGGTTCAACGTCTCATACAATCATTCCGGTTTGTCCAGTAGTTCCACTAACTCTAGCCCATTATCTATTGTTTTTCAGTTATCTTCACGAGTGCTATATCTGCGTCTAACCATACCCTAAATGTTGGCTCATGACTATTTGACACACTTGGTCTTCATGGACACGTGCCGCGCGCTTTCAACTGTATGCACCGCTATGGACTACCCTGGGTAGCAGTATCGAGAACCCCAAGCAATAGCATTCTTCGCTCGGAAGCGAGTTATATTGGAGAAGGGCTTTAACCCCATTCAATACCGTCAAGTTTGTCTCCTTCTATTTGGAAACTCCTATCATGATTCTCGTGATCTTCGGGTGGAAGCTTGTCAAGGAGACCGAATTTGTAAGCCTTGGTAAGATGACATTGTTAACGAATTAATATAATACAGTGACTAATAACCATGGAGAACAAACTTACAATATACTCGAGAGCCCACCGACACTTCTCACCCAAGAGTTCGACCGTACGGTAGGAACTCTCAAGAGATACAGCATATACCTGTGCTTCTAGACTGAGCGATGAAGAGCGAGCGCTTTTGAGAGTGCGAGCATACTATATTCTGCTCACTTGGCCCGCAAAGCTTTAGTTTCCGCCCCGGCTCATGAATTCGAATAATCCATAAATGTACGCCTATGAATATAACCACAGAACGGTATACTTTGTAGTGTACATTGACTATAGTAGTGATGATACTACAATAAGCTATACCGTAACAACGCTAGCCACACACTACAGAGATTTGCCGCACATATTAAGAAATTGCCAAGCCACCTGCGATTGGCACCCATAGTCGGATACTGCGGATGCCTTTCCCTTTTTTATCCACCAGTTCCAGTCTTTTTCTTTTCTCCATTAAACTCCATCCTATACCTATGTAAAAGTAAGTCCTCGAGTATACTGCTTGTCTATAACTCTACACACATTTAGCGTTCTTCACCAATTAAGCTAATTACCTGATAACTATATTTCACCCTGGGCTTAGATCACTTATTGTGCCTATACTAAGTCGAGACATGAGCGTTATTCTGGCTTTGCATGGTACCTAGATACTTCACATTCGAATTTACGTCGAGATAGATCCCACTGATGCATATCGCTGGTTACAACAGTGATTAGCCCAATATTATAGTCTAGAAATTCATCAACCAACCGGACAACACTTCGAACAGAGGAGTCTGTCGCGTCAAGAAACTCTAATACTGCTTATTATATCCCTAATTAGTTTATACCTTTTCCACTGCAGCTCTTATAAGATGAATATAATCGTGTTTCCAGCTTCAATCTCTGAGATGTGAAAACACTATTGCCCCGTATAACTATTCTCGTCAGTCAAAGCTTCTACCCCCGAAGGAAGCTCGAAGCAAACCTACCTCCAGTAAGTCAATCCTATTATAATGTTCTTACAGCCTTCAGGAAAGCTTTGGTAATGCCCTCCTACACAGTATTATTTTAAGCTTGTAGATGCGTCTCGATCTTAGAAAAACCGTATGATGCCTCCTCGACCAGCATAATAGCTAATTTTATGGCGGTGTTGCAGTCGACGCCTTCGTTGAGCATTATTACTGGAATGAGATTCTCGATTTGCCCGTCCGCCTGAACATCGATGGTCCGTAATTGATGAGAGCATGTACGGAATAAACGTACGATTTACTTGCGCAACGAGAACATGTCATTGATCCGGCATGAGTGTTCAGCTTCGTGGTCAGAGGGATGGCTAGCATAGATGAACTGATATATATACTAGATATGATGTATGTTTCCACAACAACTGCATCGTCTCACTGTCTAGTTATTGTTGCGAGACATTGATACTATAAATAAAGCTAGTGGCTTGTTAGTTGAGAACTTTGTTGAATAGATGTGCTACCCACGGGATTGTGGCTATAACCTGATATACCCCGGCGGTGCGTTGACACCGGCTCAGATATTGCTTCAGCGATGGAGTGTGGTTTCCCGAGTAGACAGTGTCCACGGTATCGACGCTTTCATAGTATAGCTCCTGGTCTGGAAGGACCTTTAGGCTATCTAGAGACTTGTCAGCTCGATGAATATTAGGGTGCAAGGCAGATTGACCTTTCGAGTACATGCTTCTGATGTGATCAGCAACCCTAGTCCAGCATATAAAGGCATACTGCAGCTTCCACGCGAAGTATGACGATCGGGGATATCTTCTTCCTCCCCGAGCACGGCCGTGAAAGTACGGTACAGATTGTTTTCTGTACACATGGGCTTTTGCTTTATCATTGGCGAGGATACCAAAATCGAAAACGTTAGATGTGCCATGAGTAAGCTCATTAAATAGAGCCATAACTTCTAATCCACAAGGGTTGGTCTGATGGACCTTCATCAGACCTAGGATGGGGCCCGGTAGGCATTCTGATTGGCTGGTATATAATCCACAAGGGTTGGTCTGATGGACCTTTATCAGACCTAGGATGGGGCCCGGTAGACATTCTGATTGGCTGGTATATCTCCAGATACAATTTATTAGACTAATATAATATAATAGATCAGAAGAGGAAGTAACTAGCTAAATTACTTAAAATTATACTAGATTATAGAAGTACTACTTATTTACTATCTTTTAAATAGTAGTATAATATATAATAAACCCTTAGATTATAGTAGGTTAAAGATCTATAGTTTTTAGATTAGAGTATTTATATAATAGGATCTACTTATTAGGATAGATATTACAGGATAGATAGATTATACTAATTAAAACATGCCTTTAAACAAGAAGAAATAGCTAGAAAGCTATTTTATCTATTTGTATAAAATTCTTTTAGATGTGTGTGAACTAAGCTAGCGCTAGTTTAGTGTATAGTATATAAGGCCTCAGGCACTAACTAGTGCCTAAAGCTGAGCTCTATATCAGGATCTTAGTTCTATAATAGAAGCCTTTCTCTCCTTTTTTATCTCTCTTTATAGTTTATATTTATATAATCAGTAGTACAGATTCAGAGTAATAGTTCTGTGCTTCAGTTTCCTTCCTAGGCGGTATTATAGCTGGTTAGTAGACAGTATAAGTATAGGTAGGGCTTATTATATTTACTATTATTTCCTCTGTTATATAATTTCTCTTAATCCAGTAAATCTAATGGTTCTCTAGTGAATAGAACTTTCTTTATACAGCTTATATAACTGGTTCTAGGGATATAGTTAGGCTTAGCTATTAGCTTTGTATAGAATATATAAAGTACTATATAAGAAGACCATCCCCCCCCTAAGTTAGTTCTCTTTTTTTTTTTTTTTTTTTTTTTTTTAATTTTTTTTTTTTTTTTTTTTTTTTTTTTTTTTTTTACTTATATAATTTACTATTATCTTCTTCTTCTACTATGTAATATCTTCTCTTTCTGATTCTAGAGATAATAAGTCTAACTAATTAGATAAT